CAGTTATATATACGTGTTTTAGATAAAAAAAAAAAAGCCAAGTATGATGTTTAGAAAGTCTCACTTTGTTATAATGCCATATAGTAACCATCTTATTCCTATAGAACTAGCATATAATTTCATCGAATGGGTTTTCATTCCACAAATCCTTGGTTATTTCTTTTTGTTTTTCTTAACAAATATTGGAAAAATCGACTCAGTCTTTGTAAATACATGGTGTTGGTGATAAAAAAAATTATTCACATATGGTAGATTCATGCCTATGTTATATCATGAATTACTTTTCATGTCGTTGTCATAGATACTCATTTTTGGACGAAAATGCCCCCGACTGTTTTTACATTCACCTGAGTTTTTAATACATGTTAATTGACCCTACCAACCCCTATAAGTACATACTTCTCATTATAGTCTACTATATATTGTTTTTTAATTGTTTTATTATAAACTTTGTAGATATGGATCGAAATCATGAAGAGTTGAAGACCATGGAGTTGTCTACTTGAAGAACTGAAAGAATTGTAGAAACTCTAGAATAAGTTTTGGTTGTTGTATAGCAATGCATTTGTCCTTTTTATTTATCAAAATGAGCAATGCACTTATAGTTTGAACAGATGTACAATCATACTTGTTATTTGCAACATATTAGATTTATGATCAGAAATAGCAACCCACTTTTCATACTTGTCATTTTCGACCGGTAATGACATCCAATCTCACTTTTAACCAATAAAAGCATCCAAATTCACTGTTAACCCAGAATAGAATCATATTTTCATTTTTAATCTTTATTAGCATCATACTTTCATTTTTATAGAATATTAACATCATATTAGCATCATATTAGCATCATACCTTCATTTTTATAGAATATTAACTTCATTTTTATAGAATATTAACGTCATATTAATATCATACCTTCATTTTTATAGAATATTAACATCATATTAGTACATTTTTAACCCAAAATGATATCCTACTTTCATTTTTAACCCAAAATTGCATAAAAGTTACATTTTAAACCCAAAATGACAACCTACTTTCATTTTTAATGGAAAATTGCATAAAATGTACGTTTTAAACCCAAAATGATAGGCTACTTTCACTTTTAACCCAAATTTGCAGAAAATTTAAGTTTTTAACCCAAAATGATAACTTACTTTCATTTTTAACCTAAAAATGCAGAAAAGTTACGTTTTAACCCAAAATGACAGCCTACTTTCATTTTTAACCCAAAAGTATAGAAAAGTTATGTTTTTAACCTAAAATCACAGCCTACTTTCGTTTGTAACCCAAAATGATAGCCTACCATGGTCCTGGACTCTTGGTCAAAACTGAGATGTAATGTCATTAGGTGGTCAACCCAACAATGGTTCTGCACTCTTGGTCAAAACTGAGATTCAGCCAATTATTAGCCATAACTCAATTAATCAAGTTGCTCACCAATCTGAACAACAATCATCTTGTTATTATTAGCAGCAACAACAACAACTCCAAAGATCATCAAATCACTTCTTCATTTGAATTCAAACATTCACCTCTTGGGTACTTATAAGTTGTTGCCACAAAAACTTCAAAATTTTACACCAAAAGCAACAACAACAAGCTTGAAATTATAAGAAGATGATGATAGGAATAAGATTGGGGTAGCTAACAAAGAACATGTTGCTACAACAATGGGTTAAAATTATGCTATGTATTTTTTCAAAATAGAATAAAACTGCACAATTCTTTCATGTTAACTCGTCTATTAGTGAATAAGTACAACCAACTAGGAAATCTGGAAATTTGGATAGTATGTTTTACACTCAAATTTCATTAAAATAATAAAACCTATATCAATATACAATGATATTTGGTAAGGCTGAAACCGGAGCCAACAGCTTCCATGGAGGTTTCTTTTCCTTCAGTAGAATAAGAGCTCCTGCTGGTTGACATAAGGTCCCAATTGATCAATTGGGACAAAAGAAAACTTGGTTTCAGGGATAAAAGTGACTTTATTGACTGCTTCTTCAACTTGAGAATATCTGTATAGTTTTGTATTGCTTGTTGGCAAATTTTAGAGTTCCTTTACATATGTAATACACTTTTTCCATTTGAAACACTTCAAAGAACTTTCTTACAGCCTCACCAAACGTGGTTGCTTGGATTCGAGTACGTTGATAAATGAAAAAATGTCATAAGTTTATATACTACGACAAATAAAATGATTTAGAACTTGAGAATATTAACTTACATCTTCATCACTTAACTCCAAAAATTATGAATAACACCCATTATTGATAAAAGCCTATGCCTTTTAAGCTATATTGACACAAAACTTCACTAAGGCAATTAATCAAACACCTGATGTACATTATATGAAGCATTATATCTAAAAAGAAACTACATAGAAATTTCCATAGAACCTGGTATCGTTTACAAACCTCTAGTTAAATTGAAATAAAAATTAGAATCAATCCAATCTAATTTTACCTGATGCACACCAAGAACAAATTGAAGAATATGAAATCAAAAACTACTCAACTTCTCACGTGATTAACCAAAAAAATAAGAAAGAAAGCATGATAAAAACACATAACCTCCATTCTAAGTAGGATTGATGTATACACACAATCAGTAGAGCTCTAAAATTGATCCAAGGATTCACACCACTCGAGAAATCATCAGAAATCACTAAACCAGAACCTGTTGTATAAGGGTTAATCGATGGTGAATCAACCAAAAAATCAAGAAACGATAGAACCTCAGGAAGGACACGGTAGTTCTCAAAGTGTTTTTAGGAAGTATTCTAGTAGCAACCATGAAAATCACGAACCGCTACCTGCTGTAAATCGATGGTGAATCAACAAAAATAAAGAATCGGTGAAACCTTAGTGTTTTTAGGAAGGATTCAGTACTTCTTATGTTTTAAGAATGAATTATTTGCGTATCAATTTCAAACGAAGTCAATAGCAAAACGACATAGTTTTAAGTATCGGGTACCTAATCTAATATACCCTCAGGGTATATTCACTTTTCCATATATATATATATATATATATATATATATATATATATATATATATATAAAGTCCAATAGAGAACCATTATTAATCAAGAAACCAATGAATCAATCCAAAACGTCGAAATTTAAAGCGATCAACGACAAAAGGAAGGGTTGTACACTTTTACAATGGACGCACATGCACCGGATTATAACAAAACTCACTTTCTTTTTTTTAGTTTTATTTTTTTAGGCCATATTTTTTATCGAAAAAAAAACCGAATATATCATTGTTCGTGATTTTCCGTCCTCTTTCCATAGAGATCCATATTGATATATAAAACATAATTTTTTTTTCAAAAAACCACTTCATTTTATTTGTTTGTTTAAAAGTTAAGGTCTATTTGTTTGTAGAAAAAAAATAATAAATATATCAAAATTCATATTTTTTGGTACTCTTTAAACATAAATTCATATTGATTTTTTAAAAAAATCGAAATTTCAGTTCAAATTCACATTGTGAACCTGTTCAGATTCACACTGTGAACCTGCTCAGATTCACACTGTTTACCTGATCAGATTCACAGTGTGAATAATAGTAAGTTAGATCCACAATATGAATAAATCCATTTGTTGATTTTACAAAACTAATTTATGAGGTATTGAAAACGTTAAAATATTATAAAATACATGAAATATATTTCGATTCATGTGTAAATTTCACTAAGTTAATTTGCAAATGATCAAAGAGTTGAAATAGTATGTCAAATTTACATTGTGAATGTTATAAATTGAAATATTTACAGTTCGGATTCACAGTATGAATTTGAACTGATCGAGTTTTTTTTAATCGATGTTCAATTTTATTAATAGAGTATAAAAAATTAATATTTTTGGTATAATTAGTTTTTCTGGATAAAAATAAACTTAAATATTGAAAAAAAATAACAAAATGAAGTGAGTTTTTTCGAAAAAAAAAAGTTCGCTTTTTATATATCAACATGGATCTCTATGGAAAGAGGACGAAAAACCGTGAACAACGGTATATTCGGTTTTTTTTTCGATAGAAAATGTGGTCTAAAAAAAATTTAAACGAAAAAAAGAGATGAGTTTTTTGGTAAGGATGTGAATTTTTTGGTATAATCTGGTGTGTGTGCGTCCAATATATATCTATTTCCTTGGCCGTTGATTATTATGATTTCCGACGTTCACGACTAGTTTATTGGTTTCTTGTTAATTATGGTTTTTTATTGAACTTCATCTTATATATTAAATTAAATTAACGAGTACAGTTAAAATAACCGAATAACAAACTATTATCCCTCAATTTAACGCTTCATAAAACAAAAGTAGCCCTTAATAAAATTAAAAGTGCATAACTACTTCTTCACTATGACAATAATATTGTCTTAAGATATTTTTTTCATTCTGTTACTTAAAATCACAAATTGTCATTGTCTTTTGTCATATAACATAATATCAAAGATAACGAATAAAAATCTTATTCACCTTTCACACTTTTATAATTTCTTATCAATATTCCTTTGTCCCCTCTTCATATTTTACAACTAAAAAAATAAATAAACTTTATATATATATATATATATATATATATATATATATATATATATATATATATATATATATATATATATATATATATATTAAACTAGTCTAACATACATTGTTTTGATATATTTTAGTGGTTTTTGTTTTGATTTGTTCTTGATTCCCTCAAACAACTCACTTTAATCTACTATTTGTGTTTACCTTCTTTGTTGGTTAATAGTTGTTTAATGTCTGAGGTCATCTTGAGACTAAGTGAGGTCATCTTGAGACACAGTAGTTTTATCTTTATGGAGGGACGACTGCTCATTCTAATGGGATTCACGAATATGTTGTTGTTCCTTTTTGTAACATATATTGTTTCAAAGCGTAATTAAATATGTAAACTAAGAAACATAACTAAAATTCATGTATAAAATATAAATAATAAACCCACTTCAAACAATTAGATAATTTGATGATTGATCCTTTGATTGTAAGAAAACACACGAGCTAAAAATACTAAATCATAAAAAATAGAAAAATCTTAAAACCCAAACGAATCTAATCTAAAATATCTATACATTAAAATCCCTCTAATAGATCAACGTGTCACATTCTGATCCAATCACAACATTCAATATGGTAGTGTAGTCAAACTCTGTTTCACATTAGCTTCAAGGCATTCGAAAAAGCCGGTGGTTATGGCTTCCAACTTCCAAGTTAGAAATTGAGATCAAAACGATGGTCGTTACCGGAAAATGACCCCCCCGGAGATTGATACGGCGCTCGCACGGTGGCTCTGTCTTTCCTCTTCGCCAAGAACTTGTGCAGCGATGCTCGTCTTGCAATTGGCAAATCCGAACCTTTGGTTTGCAGCTCTGCATGAATCGGTGGTGGTGGTGATCGGAAAACATGATCATCAGAAGAAGGTTTTGAAATGGAAGCCAATTCAATTCGGTTCTCGATTTTAGGAGAACCCTTCTGCGCCATTAGCATTAGATCTCTCGCTTTATCTTCCGGAACATCATCTAAAACCAATATATTTCCTCCATAGAAAATCGTCATCTGTGAGGCTTTAGGCTCTGTAGCTTTGTTTTTTGAATCTTCTACATCACATGAGGAATCTAAGATCACAAACTGAGGCAACATCTTCTCCGATTTCTCCACATTCAAGTTCAAGGCCTTCTCACCGGGATATTTCATGTTGCTCAACAAATCAACAGTCGTAGTTTCTGAAATACCAAATTGACACATCAGATTAGTCTCCAGCAATTTCAGAGATCTAATCAATTCAATCAAAGGATCCACCCCCAAATCGAAACAATTACAAACAAACATACCTGAAGCATCGAACTTTGCATTGATTCCGAAACTAAGATCTCGGAACTGATTGCCGTTTTCTTTCAGAAACAGACTCAACCGGTTGCAAGTCTGCACAAACTTCGATTTCTCCACAGGCGCTTTGCCGTTGCCGTTGCCGGAAAAGTAACGTTTCGCCGTCGACATGTCTAATCAAAATAGGTCCGTGGAGGAGTAATGGTGATTGATGATGAAGATTGAAGAAGGAAGAAGGAGGGATTTGCAAATTTATATTAAAAGCTGTTCATGTGCCTTGGCCATATAACTGTTGTGACTTGTGGTGGGGTCAACTTATCCTTTTATAAATCGCCACCGTTTCTCGTGTTTTATATGAGCACGTGTTAATTGTTTTTTTGAGAAAAGACTGGTTAGGCTCGAGTCGACTCAGTCTTTGGTTGGACTCGTTCAAATTTAAAATTGGTGGTGGCCCACGCAAATAAGGAGGAGGATTATTCAAAGATTATACCAACTAACTTCACTGGTCGACAGATTATTCCTTTGTAATTTTATATCATTAAAAGAAATTTGGTTTATTGGATATTTAGATGTTTTGAATTTAAATTGGTTATTTATGACTTAAAATGTAATACTTTATAATGATTAGTTTATTACTTTGTTTATTTTGTATATAGTCAAACTGCTGTCTTTTGCATCATCAAGCAGCTACTATAATGTAAAAATATGAACCTTAATTTAGTTATAATATATTGATTCTTGGTTATTGGTTAACTTATTGATTCATTGTTGTTAGTACTTAAATTATATTGATTTTCTCATGTAATATAGATGCAATCCTCTCGATAACTTACAATGAACCATGATGAAAGATGGAACCCTATGTGAAAATATATACTATTTTTAATTTTAACAAGTTTTGGTCACCTTGGGTTAAACGAGCCCACGTGTAAAATACAAAACAACACTTACGTACAAAAAACAATTGTTAATATGTAGAACTAGTTTAAAGAAAATATAACAAACAAAAAAATTATTAACGAGGTGAGGCTTTTGGTTTTTTTAAAGCCATGCATGATGACACAAACGTGACTGCTGACTCCACTTACTGTCATGTACTTTTGCTATTAATCCTTTTAATTATAGAGAACTTTGAGTTGATAAATAAAAAAAGAAACATAGAATCTTTGCATATTTTTGATGAAACAAGATCTCAACAATATCAATTATTTTGATTTCTTTGCCATCTCTATTTTTACGGTTCATTAAGAATAGTCAATTAGATAAGAGTCTGCACTATTTTAAGTACATGATAATGGAAGCGAATAATGCTAACCTTGTTGCTACAATGCTACTGATACATTTGAAAATAATAAGGCAAAAAGTCTTTGGTATAATAAAACTTTTAAGGAGTTTATTAATATGGATGAGCTAAAAATAGGAATAGACCTCATATATATATAGTCACTTCAATAAAGGATGGATGGTCAAATGTGAAGAACAACATTAAGGAAAAATCAGGAAAAATTTGACAAAAGGCAACTTAAAAATAAATGGGACACTATGAAGAAAGATTGGAAAATGTATGATCGTTTTATGAGGACTAAATCTCGCATTAGATGAAATCTCGTGAGAAAGACAATCGATGCACCAGAAAAATGGTGGGACAAAAAGTAAAGGTAATATTTGTTATTTTTTTTATCTATCCATTTCTTTTATTACTCTTTATAGTTTGAAAGTGGCATGTGCTAATAAGAGGTAATTAACACATAGTGAGACAAATAACCAAATTTAGGGACATAAATTTGGATATATATCGGAAATATTATGAGCCTTTATTTAGAGATTTTGTTGTTGGTAGAGATAAGACTAGTGCTCCCCCTCAGTGGCGGAGCTTGAAGTTTTGATTTGGGGGCCGAAAATAGAATATGTATAAAAATTGAATAACAGAGGGGCCAAAGTCAAATTTTATAGTTTTAGGCATAATATGTAACTTTTTTTAATGTATAAGGACTAATTATAAAAAAAAAATAGGGGGGTTGTGCCCTATATAACCTCCGCCACTGCTCCCCCTGAATTTCAAAATGATAGTAATCCGACTGATGTTCAAGATGAAAAATATATCTAAGGGAAAGAAGATAATGATGAAGTTAACTTATTGGATGATGATAAACCTATTTTTCCATCAAATTAGTTCTAATAAGAAGAAGGAACGTAAGAATATCGTCGCTACAAGTTCAACCACGGTAAATCTTTAGTAAGGCCATGAGGTATGACATAGTTTTTGACGCGTAATAGGTGACGTGGAGGGGGGTATTTATGCGTGAACACCCCCCCCCCATGGTGAGTGTGACGCGGATTGATGGGTATCACAGATGGTTACGCCGAATCTGATTCGCCAAAACTTTTTGACCGTTTTTTTGGACCGTTTGGTTAATTAAAAAAAAAACTTTTCAATTTAATTCTTCTACTATATATACACAAACACATAAACACAAAAACACATATCTCTCTACTTTCTCATTTTCTCTCAAAAATATGGAGCAACATCAAAATACCTCTACCATTCCAAACACCCCAACAACCCCAAACACTCCAAATGATCAATATCAAGGTTACATTCAAATGCTAACATTCCCAAATCCAACATCGACCTCTATTTACCAACATTCCATTTCAACCAAACTATTTCCAACAACAAATACCACAATCCCAATTCCAAGGTTTTCAACAATTTCAATCCCAACAATTCCAAAGACAACCATCTCAACAATTCCAAACACAACCATCTCAACAATTCCAAACACAACCATCTCAAGTCCCCTTTTCTCAATCCCCACCTATAAACCTGGACAACGACGACGACCGGGTCGAAGAAACACAACCATCTAGGCGAAGGAAATCAAAAGGAAAAGCTACAAATAAAAGAGGAACAGATTGGATCGAAGAGGAGGAGGAAGCTTTAGCTAAAGCTTGGATTTCTATATCGTGCGACTCGAGGACGGGTAACGCGCAAACGGGAAACAGTTTTTGGCTTAGTGTTTTAGATCACTTTCACTCGCTCTTGGGAAGGCAAACGGGCCGAACGTACGACACGATCAATGGAAAATGGCGTGAACTACGAGCGGCGTGCACCAAGTTTAACGGCATATTTGAAAATCTGAAAAATATGCATAAAAGTGGTAGCAACGATTTCAATATTTTATCAATCGCTTGCCAACAATTCAAAGTTACCACCGGCGGTAAAGCGTTCGGCCACCAAAAAGCGTGGGAAACTTGTCGTAACGGTCCAAAATGGGTCCTTAACCCGGAGACTTCGCATTCAGGATCGACCACCGGCTCCAACAAAAGGCCAACAACTTCTGAGTCGGATGTGTGTTTTGGTGTCGACCTCAATGACGACTTCGATGGGACCGAAGGGGAGGGTCCACCGGAAGTCCAACTTCGTCGACCACCGGGAAGGGATAAAGGGAAAAAGCGGCGTCTTCAAGCGGAAAAGCGATTAACGAAGACGTGCTTGTGGACAGAATTGACAAAACTCTAAGTTTTTTACAAAAAAAATATGAGTCAACGGAGGATGATCGGCGTCGGAAACAAGCACTCACCGATCTTCAAATTTTAAACATGAAGCCTAAACCGAATATGGACCCGGAAAATTTAGTCGCGTTTCTGAAAATCCAACAAGAAGTTTGGGAAAAGTATGGAACTTAGGTTTTAACGTTTTTAATATTTATGTTTAATTTCTATGGTTTTTAGTTATTTAGGTTTTAAGTTCTCTTTTTTATGGTTATTCGGAATCTAGATTTGAAATTTTATGTTTATGTTTTTTTATGTAATGTGGAATATCAATTATGTTATTAATTTAGGTTTTTTTTTTAATTTTAATCTAAATATATAAAAAAACAAAAAAAAAAACATTGTATAGTGATAACCATTTCCAAGGCTAGTGAACATGTGGTGAACATGTAGTGGGGGATGATGTGGCGCATACCTGACATCACTTTTCTAGTACATACATTGTGACCATACCCCATGGCCTAATTTCCCTATTTGAGGATACACAAGATATTGTCTTGGAGGCAGTGTCGGCCCAATACATGGGCGGCTTGGGCCTAGGCCCAGGGCATCAAAGTTTTAGGGGCATCAAATAAGAAATAACATATATCTATATTATATATAAGTATGGCCCAAAAATAACTTAGCTCATATCTCTTTTGTTAACCGACGATAAAGAAGAGAAAGAAATCAGGGGAAAAGGGGAAAGAGAGGCGTCGCGCCATAGATAGCGGCATAGAGAAACGAAACGTCGCATGACGCCTAGAAACACGTTGGCGTTGCGATCCATGGAGAAATCAATGCCTAGTTACGTCTCTCTCTCTCTCTGCGATAAATAAAAAGTAAGAACATATATTGATATTGTTGTTTCATCGATTCTTGGCTGTTAGAGATATAGCGATTTCGATAAGTGATAGTGTGATACTGATACATCGATTCTTAATTTCTGAGTTAGTGATTTGGATGTGATTGTATCTTGTTGGGCGTTGGCTGTTTCATTCTTTCATAAACCAGATAAGATTTTCCTCTATAATTCTATTTGTGCTCGATATTGTTGATTCAGAAATCATTTTAGGCAATGTTAATGTAACACCCAAAAATTCAAACCAATTTAAACTTTTTAAAAACATTTCAAACCATTAAAAATCATTACAACTTTGTTTTCAAAATGTATAATATCAGAGTTTTCCCAGAAATATAGACAAAACATGAGGAGCTGTATGACCACGCCTTCGCCTTGCCGCGATCCCCTGATGTAACTGAAACAATAAACTGAAACTGTAAGCCCGAGAGCTTAGTGAGTTAGCCCAGAATACCAACGCCATACATATATATCCATATCATATAAACATATAAGCAAACAATACAACATGCGTAATGAGCCATCAGTCTGACTGGACCGAATCCCGGTCCTTAGTCTATCTGGACCGCTCTCCGAGCCCTCGGCATGTTTGGACCGCCCTCCTCGGGGCCTTCAGCCTATCCGGACCGCTCGCTGGGCCTTTGGCCTGACTAGATTTGCCCGGCCCGGGCCTGCAGTCTACCCGGTCCGCCCAGGGTGTCTTGGCCTACTGCACACAGCAGGACCTGCCTCAACCCTTTCCCCAAACCAATAAACATGTGCACATACATATAAACAAGTAAACATGCAGATCTTAAAAGATCACTTACATGGCAATCATCCTATAACAAGGATACCGATCTAACCGATCTCTAACATAGCAACCATCCTTAACCAGGAT